TTTGACTAATCAGAAGGGCTGACACTCAGGGACATATTATAACATGACAGCCCAATTGCTTTTTGTCAGTTTATTTGGGGGTTTTGTTTTGTGCTTGTGTGTGTGTGTGTGTGTGTGTGTGTGTGTGTGTGTGTTTGTTGGATTCCCAGGCCTCATAAATGCTAGACAAGGGATCTACTACTGATCTACATCCTCAACCCACTACTCCAATTCAAATAAAAACAATTACTTGAACTCTTTAAAAACGACCCATGTTTTTACCTTTATGATAATTAGTTTGCTTTTCTAAACTATAATGTGGAAGCTAATAGTTTTGGCCCACATTAAAGGAAGATTAAGATACTTAGAAAACACCCAGAAGAAAGTAATAAAAATAATTACACACTTAGAAACTGGGTTCCATAATGACATGTAAGAAATCATCTAGGGGCTGGAGATATAGCTCAGTGATTCCGCAGCCTGCCTCACAAGTGCAAGATCCCGAGTTCGATCCCCCCAAAAAAGAAGAAATCATTTAGAAAATAAAACTGAAAATTACCTTACATTTTATAGGCTACAATAATCACTGAAGAACAAGGAGCCAAAAAATTGAATTACTGTAACGATAACTTAGATTGACCAGTATGAAGAGTTCTTCTTAAATAAGTACTGGAGTGATCACATATCCAGTGCTATGGCTACAAAAACTTGTAACCATTAAAGTGTGTCACAAAAGAAAAACAAATCCTCTCCTTAAAATAAAAAACATAAAAAGATGAATAACCATTAATTATTCTTCAAATAGAAGCTTGCTACATAACCATTTAAAGTCCTTTCCAGGGCTGTGGGGATAGCTCAGTGGTGCTTGCCTAAAGTCCCTGGGTTCCATCTGTACCACTGCAAGACAGAGGAAGAGGGAGTGGGAGGGAGACTAGAAGAGGGAGAGGCTATATTTACGGTTTCTGGAATTACAGGCATCTTTATAAAATTATAAAATTACAAAAGCATTTCAATCACAGTTAAGGCTTTTTGCAAGTAAAAAATGAATAAGGAATATAATAAATGTGAAAAATTAGATGTTTTATTAATAGTAAAGAAATATAGGTAGGCAATTTAGAAGATACATTATGTCTCCATAAAGTGCGGGAGGAGGCAAATAAACTAGGGTGCATGTGCATGTTTATGGCTTACAAGGCTGAGAGTCTGAGTTGTAAACCTTTTGCGTTCTGTTTTATAAGTATTACGCAAATGATTCTATAGCCACTGGCACCCCCAAAGCCTTGTGCCATCATATGTGAGGCTTCTGGACAGTGACTGGAGTTGAGGCATTCTATCCAACTTGCTGTTAGGAGGCAGGTCTGGTTGGAAGAGCCAAGTCACTGTGGGCATGACCCAGGTAGTTCCATTTTCCTTCCTGGCTCCTCCCTCGACTCTTCGCTTCTCCACCATGCCGCACCATGGTGTAAGCAACTCTCCTCTGCCCTGCCCCTGTGCCACGTTGTGTTCCCTTGGAGCCAGCTGACTATGGACTGAAACCTCTACAAATAGCCAAAAGTTATAGGTGCTGGGTATTTTGTACCAGCAACAAAGAAAGTGACTTTGGTACCAAGAGCGGACCCACTGCTATGATGTCACCTTATCGTGTGGTTGAGAAGCCTTTGGAATGGTTCACAGGAGGAGTTTGAAACTGTTTAGAAATGTTGACTGAAAAGTAACTCTAAAATGCTGTAAGCGAAGCATGAGGAAAGATTCTTACTGGAGATCTAAAGACCAAGAATGTGGACAGAAATGTGGATAATGAAGCCAGGCTCAGAAGTTTCAGTTGGGAACAAAGGCTCCACTGGCAGTTAAGAGTCCAGGCTATGTGTGTTAGCTATGGCAGATAATGTGTCTACATTTTGCTCATGTCATGAGATTTTGAGGGAAACTGAGATTGCGGGTAGCAGACTAATTAATCTGGTGGAAAATATTTCAAGGCAGCTCAACATTCAGGTATAGTATGGAACTACAAGAGACTTTTAGTCAACTTTATATTGAAAATCAAGAGCAAAAGGTCCATTTTTAATAAAAAGTTTTCAGTTTTGCCAGAAAGCAAGCCCTCACAAAGATGGAGAAGAGGAGAGTTTCGTTGCTGAAAAGATTAGTATGAAAAAGCTGAGAACTTGGATCGGCACAACAGAAAAAACAGCTGAAGGGCATGTCAGAAATCAGCAAGGGGAAAAAAAAAAGAAGAAAAAGGAATCATCAAGGGAATTTTACAAGACATTTAGAGAAGAACTACTGCCATTACTCTTCAAACTTTCCAATGAAATTGAAAGAGAAGCTATACTTCCAAATTCATTCCTAGAAGCAAGTATCACTTTGATTCCCAAACCAGGGAAAGATACAACTAAAAAAAAAGAACTACAGGCCAATCTCCTTAAAGAATATAGATGCAAAAATCCTTAATAAGATACTAACAAACAGAATACAGAGGATTATGAAGATCACACATCCCAACCAAGTCAGATTTATTCCAGGGATGCAAGGATGGTTTAACATACATAAGTCAATAAATGTAATATATTATATTAACAAAGTCAAGGACAAATACCACATGATCCTCTCAATAGATGCAGAAAAAGCATTTGATAAAACTCAACACTCATTCATGATAAAAACCCTGCAAAAAATTGGAATAAATGGTCTATACCTCAACTTAACAAAGGCTATCTATGAAAAACCAACAACCAACATCATATTAAATGGCCAAAAACTGAAAACATTCATGTTAAAATCAGGAACAAGACAAGGATGCCCAATATCACCACTCCTCTTCGATATAGTTCTGGAAACATTAGCCATAGCAATTAGACAAGAGAAAGAAATTAAAGCAATAAAGATAGGAAAGGAAGAAGTTAAACTGTCATTATTTGCTGATGATATGATACTCTACATTGAAGACCCAAAAAATTCCACCAAAAGATTTCTAGACTTAATTGACAGATTCAGTAGAGCAGCTGGATACAAGGTGAACACCCATCAATAGCCTTCTTATACACAAATAACAGAGTCACTGAGAGAGAAATAAGGGAAAAAATTCCTTTTACAATAGCATCCAAAAAAACGAAGTATCTAGAAATCAATCTAACAAAAGAAGCAAGAGATCTCTACATTGAAAACTACAGCACTCTGAAAAAAGAAATTGAAGAGGATATAAAAAAAATGGAAAGATATCCCCTGCTCCTTCGTAGGAAGAATCAACATAGTGAAAATGGCCATACTACCAAAACTGCTATACAGATTCAATGCAATGCCAATTGAAATTCCAACACTATATTTCACAGCACTAGAAAAAAGAATCCAAAAATTAATTTGGAACCATAAGAGACCTAGAATAGCAAAAGCCATCCTAGGCAACAGACACATGGCAGGGGGTATAACAATTCCCAATTTGAAACTGTACTACAAAGCCACTGTGATAAAAACAGCATGGTACTGGCAAAGAAACAGGCCTGAGGATCAGTGGAACAGACTAGAAGACACAAAAACAAATGCAGATATACTCAGCTACCTCATCTTTGACAAAGGAGCTGACCATCCTCAGTGGAGGAAAGATAGCCTCTTTAATAAATGGTGTTGGAAAAACTGGATGTCAACCTGCCACAGATTAAAACTGGACCCTTATCTTTCACCATGCACTAAATTAAAATCCAAGTGGATTAAAGATCTAAATATTACAACAGAAACATTAAACTTGCTGGAAGGTTAAGTTAGGCAGAACTCTGGAAGACATTGGCGTAGGAAAAGACTTTATGAACAAATCCTCAGTAGCACGGGAACTAGCAGAAAGAATCAACAAGTGGGATCTCATCTTATTAAAAAGCTTCTGTACTACAAAAGAAACCATCAACAGAACTAAGAGACAACCTATAATGCGGGAAAAAATTTTTACCAGCTGCTCCTCAGACAAAGGACTATTATCTAGAATATATAAAGAACTTAAAACAATCAGCCCCCCAAATATAAAGACCTGATTCAAAAACGGGCATCTGAAATGAACAGACATTTATCAGACAAAGAAGTAAAAGCAGAAAGTAAATACAAGAAAAAATGTTCCACATCACTGGTCATTCGACAGATGCAGATGAAAACAACACTGAGATTCCACCTCACCCCACAAAGAATGGCTGCTATAAAGAAATCACACAATAACAAATGTTGGCAGGGTTGCGGGTAGAAAGGAACCCTTCTCCATGGTTGGTGGGAGTGCGGACTGGTGCAACCACTATGGAAATCAACATGGAGATAACCTCAAAGAGCTTGGACTGGAGGTTCCATTTGACCCAGCCATCCCTCTGCTGGGTATCTTTCCAAAAGAACTAAAAGAATCATATCACAGAGAAGTATGCGTACCCATGTTTATAGCGGCACAGTTTGTAATAGTTAAAACTTGGAAACAGCCCATTTGCCCATCAGTTGGAAACTGGATAAAGATGTGGTTTTTCTATAAAATGGAATATTACTCAGCCATAAAGAACAAGAAAATAGTTTCATTCATAGGAAAATGGATACATATTGAAGATATACTCCTAAGTGAAATAAATAAGTCACACGTGTAAATACCAAATAGTTTCTCTGGTGTGAATAATATGCAACAATACATAAGATCCTAATAAGATTACTGACATTTAGAAATGGGAAGAAAGGAGCTAAAGGTGTAGGGAAGGTGGGATGGATAGAGCAAGGGAAATAAGGGAAAAGAAAAAAATGTGAGATAAAGAAAAGATGGAAATTGTAGATGGGGAGGGGAGGAGCAGGTGAAGGGAGGGCAGGGACAAGGGGAAAAAATGAGAACCAAGACCTGTCATGTAGAGGTACAAGATCCCAACAATGAATGTAACTGTACTGTATCCCTAAAATGTACCAGTAAACTCAATTAAAGATGAAAAAAAAAAAAAAAAAGAAATCAGCAAGGCCCCACCCTATGCAGGCTCAAAATTGCAAAAGTGAATGTGATTTTTGTTTTTTTTTGTATAAAGCCCCAAGGCACTGTGCTCAAGAACAGAAGCCTAGGGAATTTGTTTCCTGGGAATCAGTTCACAGTGCTCAGTCATCCAGGCACTCAGAGGCCTCTACAGCCATGACACCAGCATGGCTACTATTCAAGCTGGCAGCAGACTTTGACATCATCCATGTGGTGTTCATTTTGCAGGTATGCAGCATGTATGAATTACAGGGTTATGGAGGTTGCACCCAAATTTCAGAAGATCTGGCAGCGTGCCCCTGAGAGTGCAGTGTGTGAAGCTATGAGAGTAATGCCAAAAGTAGAGAGGAGACTCCAGGAAGTTGAAGAAGCCAGAAACAGAACATCTGAAGAAACCTTCAAGGAGTGAGCAAAGCCATTCTAAGAGAGAACCCACTTGAACTACAACCACTAGTATACTTGTAAGAGCAAGGCCTCTCAAGCTCTTTGGAATTCCTGTCTCTCCACAGGCTGTCCTGGGAGCTGGCACAGAACTACAGGAGCTGCCCTGCTGAGTTTTGGTCTTCCTTTGGCCCCACTGATTTTTATCTCAACAATGTTTAACTTCTTTTCTTAATATTTACAAGAGCTCACAGCTAAGAGTCTGCCTTAAGTTTCAAGGGAGACTCTAGTCTTGGACTTTTCAGCATTGCTGAAACTATTAAAACTTTGGCAACTCTTAGAAATGGACTAAATGCAATTTGCATAAAAAGAAGTTTATGAGTCTTTTGGAGACAGGGTAGAATGTTATGGTTGATATCTAAATGTCTGCCCAAATGGGATCATAGGTGGGGCTTTTGGATGGTGACTGGATTGCAGGGCACTATAACTGATTGGCCTTAAGAGGCAGGGCCTGGTTAGAAAAGGCAGGTCACTACAAGCATGACCCAGGTGGTTAAATTTCCCTTGCTGGATCCTTCCTTGACTCTGTTTCCTGTTCAGCATGATGTGTGCAGTGCTCCACTGCCATGCCCCTAAGTTATGTTGTCCTGTCTTGAAGCCAGCCAACTATAGACTAAAACCTCTACAAACAGCCAAAATAAACCTCTCCTCCTGTCAGACAGTTTGTCACAGTGATGAAGAAAATACTAAAACAAAAGGGTCCAGTGAAAGGAAAAGAATGGATTGAAGATAAATGAGAATCATCTTCAGTCTAGAATGTTATTGTCTCTCAAATAATGGCAATAATATACTAATACTAAAAACTGCTCAAAAATCTGCAACAGAAAAAAAAACCTGTTTACATGCTACAAATTAAATATCTGTAAAAATCAAGCCAAAAAATATATACATAGTGTGTGTGTGTGTATCTGTAATGTTAGACTTTCATAACAATCATCCACTATATTTGTCATTAGAGAAGAAAATATTCTAAAGTCAGTGAAACTCCTATGAGGGAAAGTTTTAGTGTTAATTTTCTATAAAGGTGTATATAGATATATGTAATATACATATATATATATTATACATTAATATATATAGATATGTATAGTTCATATATGTGTGTGTGTGTGTGTGTGTGTGTGTATAGAATATAGAATATAGATCTGTTGCCAAACACTGTAGTTCGTATATATAGTCTGTCAAAAAATGTATACACACTTCAGGAAAAGAAAAACTTGTATAAATACTTTAATACTAAATTTACTGAGATATCATGAGATTAATACAAATTCCCTTTGGCCTCTACAATTACAAGAGGTGCTCAAAGTGGTGGCCGTTAGCTTTCAGACATTAAAAAATAAATAAATAAATAAAAATGAACCAGGACACAGACACACACAATGAAGATACAACTTAAAAGGTTAGCACTATTTCTTTCCTGAATATTAAAATATTTAAATACTCATTATATATACAAATAGGCCTCACCATATGTCCGGCTATAATAAGAACCTCATAGATAATAATTCATGTAATTCTTATAACTCTACCATTTTTACCCTCTATTTCACAAATGAGGACACTGAGTCTCAGAAATTTAACTAATATGTAATTAAGCTGAGATTCAAGTCTGGGCAGTGTGATGCTGGAGCCCACTAAGTTATTATGTAAAAGTACTTCATATATTAATATTGACAACAATTTTGACCTTTGAAAGTAACAAATGTTCACAATCTGTAAAGTATAAAAATAAACTAGTAGAGAAGGAAAATGATTTTCCAAAAAGAGAGTTTAAATTGGAAGAGATTACCTTGACTAGCTTTATACATGTGCAGATAGAAATTGAGAATGAGAAAAGGCTACATTTATTTTAAGTGCATTTGTTATGAACCAACTTACAATCTGGAGAAGGAAAACAAAAACAATTCAATTAGAAAAATAAGGCCAGCTTTTTAAAAGGTATAATTTACAAACAAATTTAAATACTGTATAGAGAAAAAGCTCAGTAAGGTTTTGATTCACATTTAATACTATGACTTTAAAATCTTTGTAATATAATTAAAGAAGCATGTGATTGGGACTTAGGTAAGAAAACAAAATTATGACATTTACAGTCTAGGGTAACTTTTTTATTTTTTCCATGATACTATAATCACTTTATTTCTCAAGGGAAGTACCACTGACTAAATCTGTGTGCTGAATGCCAGCTAGTAAAAATGTAAAATTACTAGGTAGAATGTCAGCACAGCATGTGTACCTAAAACTTTTAAAACAAAAACAGCAAAAACCAATCCAAAACAAAAACAAAAACTGCTGATTTTAAAGGTTCTGTACTCCACATTTTCTTATACTGTAGAGAGGAGGAGTTGTAGCTCTACCATAACTTATGATTTCTTTTGGATATTTTAGCAATTATGAAATGAGGGGTTTGGGTAACAACGCAAGTCCTGTCCAGTCCTAAAATCTGAATACAATCAATACATAGTACCAAGTTCATCTATCCATCCATCATCCTATCTACCTACGTACCTATCTTTTTCTCTAAAGGCTGGCCTTTTGGCACAGAGAAAAATGAAGAAAATAAGTGGGGTCCTGCATCTTGAAACTGACAATAAGTTTGTACTTTCCACAACTGATCTCTAAACTGCCACCCAGTAAATCTGACAGCCAAGTGATTATCTGAGGGAGAACTCCTGAAAGTGCTTCCACAAGTTTCACATGTATTATTTCCACTATTTTTCCCAGAACTTTTGCATCCATTTTCCCCAATGCCCTACCATTTTGTTAGCTGAAATATGTGCTGAATTCAGCACACATTCAATGCTCATCTTCTCAGCCTCTTGGCTCAGTTTAACACAGCTGATCCTACTTCTCAATGCCTTCCTCTAGTTTTCTTCCCTGGTGTCATTCCTTTCAAATGACCTTTAAAGGACTTTAATCATTACGTGCTGGAATTACTTTTTTTACTTAATCAAGTTTTTCACTTACAAAATGGGGTAATTCTTTTTTCTTCATTGTGTTGTTGTAAGCAGTAAGATTATGAGTTTAGCCCAGTACCTAGGACATAAATTCTCTAGAAACGTTAGCTATATGGGATAACCAAAACATACAATATATATTTATATTTTTAAAAATCATGACAATATAAAGCACACTGTCACTAATCCCTTTCAAAATACTTCCCCTTGCTTCAAACACATGTATCCTATTTTTCTTACCACTTTCTGAAGCAGTTCTTCTTTTGTTTATGAGGTGTGATCAAAAATACAGTGAACGCTACTGCTGAGTGCCATCCAATGAAAGGCAGGCTCCTGAAAACATTAGTGTATCTTCATCCACCAGATCTTACACTGTATATCTGGTAGCTCTTCCCTAAAGTAAAAAAAAAAAAAAAAAAAAAAAAAAAAAAAAAAAAAAAAAAAAAAAAAAAAAAAAAAAAAAAAAAAAAAAAAAAGTCAAAATAACCACAAAAGGTAAAGGTTTGAATCAATTCAGAACCCTGAGGCAGCGACAACAGGGCAACTAAAAACATTCATGAAAGAGGACTTCAGAGAGTGGTAAGAAAAACTGGATGTGTCTGAAGCACGGGGGAATATTCTGAGGAGAATTAATGACAATGTGTCTTTTACTTTAACAACTTTTTTTTTAAAAGATAGACACATTGCATTTTTGTATCACACTTTGAACCATTATCACTATAATCACAAGACTAGATTGGTAAAATTCTGTTCTGCCTTTCTTTCTCCATCCTCCTAACATAACTTGAGAATTTAATAAATATGAATGTGATCATACGCAACTGTCTTCCTAGAAACTTATTAATGGAATTATATGGCTTTTAAAATAAAGACAGACTCATCTCTTATTACTCTTGCCCCTTAATTCTATACTGTAACCAAACTAACCTTGAGCTCCGTAGATATGGCATGCTCATGCCTCGAGGGCTTTTGTCCACAGTATTTTCCTTGTTTGAAACCCCCTGCAAGTTACAGTTCTGTCCTAAGTGCCCTTCAGAATTTTATCAAAAGCTTACGTATTTCTCAAGTCTGGCATCACTTTGTATTCTCAGTGCGTCACATTCGTCTTAGAACTTCCCAGTGTGTAATACATGAGTGACTCCTTACTATTAGTATACATTTGTGTGCTTCCTCCAAAAGACATCTCAGACTGAGATGTCTCTATTACTATTCTTCCCATTCAAACATCCTTTCAATTTCTTCTCCATTTCAGAAAAGAGTAACACCATCTGTCCAGTTCCCAAAGCCAAAACCCTTGGATTCTTTCTTTCACACTCCATAACCATTGATAAATTCTGCCTCCCCAGAACTTCACCACTTAGCTCTTCCTCCTTTGCAGTTTCCCCACTGTGGTCAAAGCAAAAGCCCCATTTGCGGAACTGCTGCAATAGCTTTTACCATACCTTGCTTCTTTCTTTGCCTCCAACACTTACATACTTGCCTGTATACAATGTGCAGTTACATTCATCCTTTAAACACAATCACATACTGTTTACTGACAGGGATATAAAAAAGTACAGCTAGGCAATTTTGTCATGGGACTAACATACAGCCTGCTACACAAACCTAGATGGTACAGTCTACAGCACACCTAGCCTACATGGCATTGTCTATTGCCCCTGGGCCACAAACCTGAAATGTATGGTACTGTACATAGACAAGTCTAAAACCATTGTTTCTGTGTATCTTAACAGAAAAAGTACAGTAAAAGTACAAGGGGATAGGATTCTTTCAACTTTATTAAGATCCTATGGGACCATTATCCTGAAACATGATTACATGATACACAACCTTATATGTCACATGGTGTCATTCCTCTAAAGAAACCCACCCCATTTATCGTCTCTTATGGACTAAATTGTGTCACACCCTTCCGTGACTATCCTGAAGATAACTCTTTTAAGGAAGTGACCTGAAGGTTAAGTGAGGTCATATGGATGGAGCCCTTATCCAACAGACCTGGTGACTTTATGAGAAAAGGAAGAAGAGTGACAACTCACTCTAATATGCAAGGAATCATTGAGAAGGTGGCTGCAAGCCACAGACAGTCGTCACCTGAACCAAAGCATGCTGGCACCCTAATCTTGGCCTGTTCAACCCTCACAAGTGAAAAAATAAATTACCATTGTTTTAGCCACCTGGTCTATGATAATTTGTAGTGAAGGTTTGGGCTGGTAGATAAGTAATTCTACTTCCAGTCCAAGTATGGCGGTGCAGTAGTCAATGAGGTCACACACATTCTGGTATATCACATCCCACGTTCCCAAACTTTCTGACCAAACTGCATCTGACTTTCCTATCTCTTAAGCAGCTCCAGCCAAACTGGCCTACCTGCAATTCCATGAATATCAGGCACCTTTGGTCTTTTGCTCTTTCTCTGCCTGAAACACTCTTTTCCCAAATATTTGCATCAACTTCCTCACTCTAATGGCACATTCCCAATGAAGCCATCCTATGGAAAATTTTACCATCCCAAATCACATGGATGCCATTCCATTTCTATTAGCACTTTCTACTGGCACATTAGCCATCCATTTTACCAGTTTACCTTATCTATTCTCTCACTGGAAGGAGCTCCTTGAAAGGACTGCCTCTTTTGCTATATTCTCAGAGCTCCTAGAAGGTGCTCTACATTCGTTCAGTTAATGTTGAATCCAACAGACACATATTAGCTTTGGAGCGGAAAGGTACCACACAGAATGACAATCCCTAGTAGAAAATCGCAATGCATTAAGGGACCACCCGATTCCTCTAGCTTCTTTTGATTTTCTCTTAATACAGCCGAAGAGAGGTTTTACAGGGCCTGGCTGCAAACTAGAACTGTTCCTATCCTCAACTTTAATAAAAAGAGCTGCAAGGTCAAATAAGAGCATGGCTATGACAAATTTTTTTTTGGGGGGATTGCTCTGGTTGCTGTTTTTAATGACCGTATTTTCAACCTTGCAAAGTCTGATCATGCTTCATGTGCTCAGCAAAAGACAGCGTTAATCTCCATAAAAAATTTAAATACATAAATACAAAAGCAAATCAGAGGTCACCTACTGTCGTGCACTTTTTATTTAGGGCTTTGGTTACAGGGTAAAAGCGGATTCTGGTGCTAGTAAGAGTTAGAAAACAACTGCATTTCCCTACATTTTACGTTAAAGAAAACAGGCCTGACGAGCACCTTTTGTCTGTGTGAAGACTGCGAATAACACAAACCGCGCAGAGACCTCCCGGAACGGCCTGACTTCCCGGAAGCTCCTCCTGTACTGTGCTCCGAGGGAGTTAAGGTAAAAGCCCACTTCTGTCACCATCACACCTGAGCCCGCCTCACCTTCAGAGCGAATTTAAATGAAGGTGTCACAGAAGACAGGGCACGCCCACCGTCTCGGGACGGGGTTCACCTCCGCTTCCGCGAACCCAGCCCTGCCCGGCGGCGCAGAGGCGTCTTCCCGGGGCCCGGCCGCG